TATTTCATTATCATTATAATTTCATTATTAGAAGCCAAGGTGTTCTCAATAAATCGGCATTGGACAATACCGAGTGATACCGCGAGTTGAGTACGAGTATTGTGCATATAAACAAAATCATGTTCGTAAACATGCATAAACTGACTGTTAGGAAAATGAAACCACCTTGTTGTGCATGACCCAATTAAAACAATAGTCATACATTTTTTTCAGTATTTGAATTGCGGGTCTTTGACGGGTCTTTGTTTGAGCAAATTTGTAGGATCTTGTGTGTGCTTGTTTCTCTCCGGCCAGATGACATAATAAAAAATATCACTCTCTGTTGAAGGAGTGACAAAATGATAATGTCATTAAGCAAGATTTTCTAGATTTGGTTATCCAGTTCGATAAGGATGTAATTTACTGCATTTCTTCCATGGTTCGTTAAATGTCAGTGCCCACGATCCGATGTGCTTCTTGCCCAGGGACTGTCATTCTGTGTTCAACGGGAAAACGGTGGACAAACAAGCTACAGGTGTTTTCTATTTGATTAGTAGGATTCCAGTTATTCTAGCCGAGATTGTTGTCGATATATTTTTCTTCTGCAGATATCCGCCTACAGATTCAGAATTTTGAGAATGTCCAATCAGCAAAATTATGAATAGAGATTTCGCCTGACAAAAGTGACAACAGAGCAAGAGACTTTACGTAAACGTTAAATGTGTTAATGTTATCAGCGCCACCTGTTGGTTAATATCAGATGCGGTCAGTTGAAGCGTAACTGTCCATGCGGGTAAATTAACCATTTATCCAGAATGTTAAATTAAGTGGAGTGTCCTGACCGCAGGGAGAAACTTTTGATTTCAGAGGAACTTCCGGAACCTTCTGCGATGGTTTGGCTATGTGTTGCTCCAGAAAGGAAGGTTAAGCAACTGTTTCTTGCGAATCCGACCGGCAAAAGGTCCAGGGGACAGCCAAGATTAACCTGGTGCAAATGTATGGAATGAGTCTGTTCCAGACTCCATTTGTCTTTTGTCGAAACTCAGACTCTAACACAGGATCGGGAACGTTGAAAGCACTGTCTGACGCGTCTGCCTCCGCGACCCGAAACGAGAAGCGGCAATGGAAGATGACGATAATGGTGACCATGATGATGATGATGATGATGATGATGATGATGATGATGATGATGATGATGATGATGATGATGATGATGATGACGACGATGACGATAATGATGATGGTGATGATTTCCGTTTAGACTGGTACCCCGGTGAGCTTCGACCAACAGGCTCTTTGTCATTTCTGGCTACCTGGATTCTTCTCAGTCGATTCTTTCAACGTTTATGACAGGTCTTCACGCAATGGCTTAGCTGTAAAGGTAATTTGATCGTTGCTCATGCTCCAAGACAAGGAAGGCGGAAATAACATGACGTTAGCTAATCAAAGGAAGACCAGCTGTTTACTGGTTCGATAACGCAAAACAGGAGTCAGTTCCTAGAAACATATACAGATAAGTTAAGTTGGCGGAAGCATATATCAAGCAGTAGATATCTGGGGTTAAATTTGTTTTATATCCTTTGAAAACATTATATAAATAATGGTCAAATAGACATGTATTCAGTCAGATTACAAATAGCCTGGATCCCAAAGGGTGGCACTTGACTATCATCTACAGTACCTTTGAATATTCATAGGAGTAGTTAAATATTGAACACGTAACTAAATGATAAAGTACATACTATAATCCACTTCGACTGTTGCTATCACCGTTCGTTAGGTTCAATGGAGCCAAACTGGTATACAGTGGATATTCAAGTTTGTAGGCAACTTCTTTTGAATATGCACGGCAAAGTAACACCAAAGAGAATAGGTGGACAATTACTCTCAGAACTATTCAAGCAAAATTCTTGTAATCTAAGTGCAGCACAAAAGCAGCTTGATAATCAAGCACCAAAAAACCGTGTTGTTACATTAAGAAAGGCATGCGGTTCTAATTACTGACTTTCAGCGGTTATTTAGGAGTTGGACAAGCGGTTCTCTGCCTGTGGTTCCATCCTAATCGCACAAGGTGCGAGGGGTGCTGAGTCCTTTAAACCTTCAAGATTCAGTCGGTACTTCGGCCTCAATCAGACCACCTAGCAGCCGGAACTTAGAAGTCATTTTCCTTAAAAATCGTCCATCCCAGTACAGTAGTCACGTTCCAGTCGATCGACACCAGGTCCAACATTTCCAGGGAAACGACGATCGAAATAGGAATCGCGCAAAGCGAAATTCGTCTCTCGTACCGGTTCGTCTTGTCCCATGGCACAAGTAGTCAGCGTTTAACATATAACTGATAGCCTAGGTGACCGTTTAAGCAGTACACATCTCCGTTTTTGAAACGGACTGTTAGAGTACCTCTCTACACATAGGTCTGATTTGGTCTGGGTGCCGGAAGAGAGTACAGATAAGTAAACTGAGCGAAAAATTAATTCTCATTTGGCAACGTGCGTCGAAGTAGCTGTAGAGTCATAATTTAGCTAGCGATGAAATTAACTAGTGTGAATTCTGGCAGAGATTGAACAGGAATCTGCAGCAATTAACAACAAAGGGATCACGAGAACGATTTAAAGCTCAACTCTTGATTTCCCGCGTGAACGGTAACGAGCAACGACTAAAATGCGGGAAAGTCCAACAGTGACAGCTTTCTTAGCCTTCACTGTAAGAAGTTTGAAGTCCAACAATGGACATTCGGAGAGATGATCTGCCATCGAGGTTCTGGTGAAAACCTGTGAGGATGTCAATGTTTTTCCCTCTCTGGTCTTTGATATATTTGTGGCCTCAATTTCACATTAAGGACACTTCGTTACGGTGTGACCAGAACAGAGCTGAGAGCACCATGGTCATCAGACGCAAAATTACTAGAAAGTTCATTAACGCAAATGGCTGAAGGCGGTAATCACAAGAAAAACGGCAGATACACCAGTCTGTGGTAGTAAAACCGATGCTAGCAGGGCAACTACGTTGTACGCTGCGGAAAGGCATCCAAGATTTATAAACACATTTCGAACCTTAGACACGTAAATAATTAGACTATGTCTGGGCAACGTTTGAAAGCCATCCCTTCCATTCATCTGTAATCGATGCTTCGAAAAGGGTGGAAAATTAATTCACTCTTTTCAGCATGAAGTCCTCACGAGAAAGTCCAGTTATCCTTAAAGCTCAGTGATGTGACTCCCACGCTCTTAGCAGCATATTTGCCACCGAACGGTATGAATGAAGTGAAAGAACTTGCCGAACTCGATTTTCAGCTGCGAGTTAATTATTAATTCAGTTTAGCAAATTAATCCACAGAGAACAGTATGTCAGATTTTTACTGAGCCAAGCTAAACTGTTTTTTTACCTAGCGTTAAGCTCATCGTGGCGTGTTGATTCGTGCAACATCTTCCTGCTGAGCTCATTGCATCTGATGGATGAAGGAGTCTGTGAGAAGGTGTTCACCAAATGTCGTTCTTCTCAGCTACCTTCATTCACCGCTGCGATCTGATCATCGCTGTTTCTATCAGATTTACCTGAATGCTATGTAAAGCATTGCACGCTTCTGTGGCTTAGAATTTTTTCGCTGATTTTCTCTAAGGAGATGAAAAGGATTCGCCAGCAGTAGGCTCGTTGTCTTCGTTTTCTTCGACCGCTTCTCTTTTCTGGTTGCGGAAGAAGACACGTCAGACAGAGCTTGCAACTTCCTGATCCTCTGCCAGAGTCTGAGCTTTGCCAGAAGACAACTGGACCCTGCATCAGACTCCTTCCATATATTTGCCCCAGGATAATCTTGGCCGTCCCCTGGGCCTTCTGCCGGTCGGATTCGCAAGAAACAGTTCCTTAGCCTTTCTTTCTGGAGGCATTCGCAACAGATGGCCAAAACCATCGCAGCTGTGATTTCTCTGAAAATCTGGATAAGCAGAGGTTGTACACCATGGATCTGGCGGATGTCTGTATTCCGGACCACGTCGAGACGCGTAAGGCCAGTTGGCACGCCATAGTCTGTGAATTACGCTTTGCTTACAAGTAAATGCCATTGCCAATTACTGACCAAAGTTAATTCCGGCCAAACAAGGTTTTTCACCCTTCTTCAGAATGTCAATCAGGGTGCTTGCGGCCGCCGTAGTGGTACGATTCAGCAAAGTGTTTTGCCCCTCGATCGTCTTTGGCAGCTGCTGAAGTTTCTGGTTAGCACCTATGCTTATAATTTGTCTGTGAAGATGGTAGTAATGGTAAAACTTTTATTCGAATGTTCCGCTACATCGACGGCCACGAGAACTCTAGATTGAAATTTTCGTTTCTTCTGCTTTCGGAAGCCAATTCTTGCACAGGTCAGTTATTGTTTTCGACCAACAGAAAGATTCCTGTTGAATATGCGGGCATTTCGCTTCCAATCGATTTTGCAGCGGGGATCAAAACATATGGGAACCTTAGAAACATCTGTGCTGCACCGAAAGATGGTAAACTTGCCATATAATTTTCGTTTTTTATCTCATTGCTGTTATCCATATGTCCCTGTGAAAGGGACGTCATGGCAGAGCTTTGCGGCGTCTGATATGGCAGAACTGGCACCCTCCTTCTCCATTGTATATCTGTAAATGAGGCCGAAAATGAGTTTGGTTTGGTTGTCAGCCCTCTTCGATTCCCCACCTCCAAGTAAGGAAAGTAAATGCGGATCTGGTGCGTACTGAAACTCGTTGCGCAACACGTTCAGCCGCTCAGAAATGAAGATCAACAGATCAGACGTAGAATGAAGTTCGAGGAGTGGAACAG